AAGCCAATAGGAACCATAACTCCATTTAGATAATAATAATCAAATTATCCAAACCTGGGAGAACATGCTTTATAGATTTTGGTCTAAATTTAATACAAAAATGCAGTAGTCCTTGTTTGGAAGAGTTTATTAAGGGTTAGCAAAGAAAAAGCTTTTTCAATAGTCTATAACTCTCTAATGGCCTTTTTCAAATAAAATGGGAAAGAATTTGCAAAGAAACCTATATCAGTGAGCTGCAATTGTAACATTACAGTACAGGTCTATAAATCTTGACATGTTCAGAAGATTGCCTAAACCAGCAATACAATCTGTCCAAACCTCATTGTCTCCACGACCAGCCAGACTCATTTTAAGAAATGTATGTGGTCTTCAACCTAATTTTATCACCTTCATTTGTAAACTAGTCAATCAATCAAAGCATCCTGTGAGTCTAAATAGAAAAAGGAGTGCATTTTCATGCATTTCCAGACAGCACAGTCAAAAATTAATCTCCAGTTGATCAGACATTCCTTGCCCTCATCTCAATAGACCATCATTAGGGTCAGCAATGTATATTAAAAATAGAGTTGCAGGGAACTGTGTGCTGGGGATTCTTTGCAAGCCAGATCCACCAGCTCAGGGCTCCCCTGGAGACAAGGCTGGGCTCACCCACTAAAGAGCAGCCTCAAAATAAAGTTAGGAATGGAAAGAGGAGAACAAACTGAGAATTCTCATGCTCCACCGGGTGTTTTTTGCACCCTGAGCACAGGGAGTAACAGCTTGGTGGGATGGAAAGTGGGATTTCAGAGACCTCCATCTCATCATCCCTCTTCTGTTTCATATCTGCAGATATTATTCTTAAATATTTTCCCACTCATGTGTGTTTGTGGGAGATGAGGCTGGGGAGATGGGCAAGGGCTGTGTAATGTGCCCTAATTCCTGCTTTTCCATGAGGGAACTCCTTTGTCACTGGGCAGGTTTGGTGCTGCCCTGTGCCTGTATCCAGGCAGATGGGACTGACCCCCTTTTCTCTCCCTTCCAGCTGCTTTTCTCACCCCAGGCCACACTGAGAAACCAGTGAATGCTGGAGTGGGGCTTGTGGGGTTTTCCAGTTGGAGCTGGAGTTCCATAAAAACAGCAAAGCCACCAAACTGCCCATGGGTACCTGTCTGAGCAGCCCCAGGAGCCTCCTCTGGCTGAGCTGGGGATGGAACAGGTGAGGAAAATATTTCCCAAAACTCCCAGAGCTGTGCCAGGGAGGGCAGCAAACAGGGGTGGGCAGTGCTGGAGGGCACAGCACACCTTTGGCTTGTTTGGGAGCCTAAGAAATATTCCAGAATGAGAGCTGTGGTAGCTGAGGTCCTGTTTCCACCTTCCAAGCCAGGTTTCCTCTGGCTGCCTTCCCCTGCAGCTGCCACCTCCCTGGACAAAACAGAATTTTAGGACATTGAGCAGCAAGGATGTGGCAGGGAGGGGCGATTGCCCGTCCTGGGCTCTTCTGGGTGAAGCTGAATGGGTTTGTTGATCTTAAGTCAGAGTTTCTGGGTGGGAGCAGAACTACAGCAGCAGTTCCAGTTCCTCAGATGAGGAAGAGTTGTTTCCTTGCTCTGGGGAAATGGTTCAGTCCCGTGGCAGTTGGGTTTTCTCTCTAACTCTTGACTTGCAGCACAAAACCCAGCTCCAAACACATCTCAGAGAAAGAGTCATTACAGCAGCCATGGCAGCACTGATCAGAAGAATGAATTCTTTATCTGACTAGAGTCTCCCATTTTTCCCTGGCTGATGAACATTCTGAGATGTTTAAACATCAAAACAGGTCAGGACCTACCTTTAAAGTGAAATCTGAGCTCCCACCGCACCGTTGCCTCCTGTGTGGGGTGTGTGTGCCATGAGTGAATGTTGCTTCAGGATGGAGTCACCTTGGTCCTGCTCAGGTCCTTGGCTCCCTGAGAAATGACTTTGGGACAGAGCCACAGCCCTGTCCTGCAGGGCACTGTGCAGTGGGAAGACACAAAGCAAGCCCAGGTGGAAGCTGGGCTGGATTCAACCATCTGATGAGCTCAGGCTGCGGAAATGGTGCTTCATTCTTGAATTTTTTCTTGGAAAATGCAAGAGGATTCCAGGGAATTGATGATACCCTCTTACTTATGCTTTGGAAGAGAAGGAAATTTATATTCAAGTGGCTCTGCCACAACCTGCAAATGACAACCTCGGAGCCGGGGACGGGACGGGGCAGCGTAGGCACCGTGTGGGGACATCTCCCCCAGGAACCATCCCTGGGGAGCTCAGGGGTGAACCAGCCATTCCTGATTCCCACCAGCCTCGGGAGTTCTGCAGCAAAGGCTGAGCAGCAGAGGAGCTTTCCCACACAGCACCATGGCCAGGTGGGGTTGGACATCACGGATCGAGGAGGAGCTGCAAGAGAGACCCAGAATTGAAGATCTCCCAACACTTTGGGAATTGAGAAAAAAATTATCCAACACTTTCCAGGCTTATTACTCCATAACTCCTGACTATCAGGCTTGGCAAGAACAATACATTGAATTTCCATGGAATATTCAGAGGCTTTAGAGCTGATTCCTCCTCTTTTCAAGTATTTTTTCCACAAGGGGTCATTGCAGAGCAGAGCAAGGATGACTTAAAAAAGAGGTGATTCTTTCCTTTTCTAAAGTGAAGTAGACATTTAGATGCAATTATTTTAATTGGGATCGTTAACAGCATTAATTTGTAGCTGAAAAACACCACAATGCCATAATAATAATAATAATAATAATAATAATAATAATAATAATAGTAATTTGGTCAGTGTTTGTGTCAACTCCATTTAGACTGAGCCATGTTTTAGTTTAACTCCTTTTAACAAAATAAAGATCCAGTCCAGTGGGGAGCAAATAAGGAGATTTGCCTCTGTGTATAAATGAAGCATTTAAAAATAAGTGTGGATTTCTGTGTGGTAATTGGGATAAAAGAAGAAGATTGAAGAGGAGATGTTTCTGAACTGAAATTAAATCCAGCCCTGCAACATGTACAGAGAAGATCAGAAGCAATTCTCAACCACTGTTGATTCCCAGATAACTGCCTGAGCTTCTGTTTCTTTTCCCTTTCCTTTTGTTTGGCAAATAAAGCCTTTTCAATAATTCAGGCAAATGGCTTGATAAATACAAATAATTGAGCAGATTAAGCTTAAAGATAAAAACATATTTTATCATATGTAACTTAAAAAGTAATCATATAATTAATGGGTGAAAAACAGAGAGAAAGATTGCCAGAGATTAAGATTAAGCCCTGCAGAAGAGAATGTTCTAACTAGAAATTGGTTTAATTAATAGCACATTTTACATAATGATTACAGTGTAATTGCGCTGACTAGCAGAGTGTCATTAAATATATCCATGCTCCTTTACAACACCCTAAGGCTAAAAATAATGAGTTACATTGAAAATCACTATGCAACAGGTTCATAAATAACATTTAAGCCTATACAAGGCGAATACTTATAAATAATAAATATTTGCCTTTTGTAATTGAAGAAAAAATGACAGCCTTCTTTTTCTACTACCCTGTAGATTGTCATGTTATAATGCTGAAAAGATTTTTCCCCCTTGCGTTCTCTAGAAAGTCTTGAATAATTGATTCAAATGCTAATATTCCACATAGTCTGACTTTGAGGAACAAATATTCCTACATAAAGAATAAATGCCAAGTTGCTTATTACCAGCTTGGTTTTACTTTGCATGCTGCAGTCCCCAAAAAACTCTCACACTCTATTACCCACGTCAGATGAAGTCAGTGGCCAGATTTCCTGCCAGAAGAGTTACATATTTTTTATTATTTTTTTATTTAAAAATTACCCCTTGTCCCATAATGTTCATCAGGCTCAGAGCTGTTATGCAGCAACAGCTGCTCCTCAGCTCCAAAAAGGATGATATCATAAAGCTGATAACTTTTTAATCTGGAGTTTTTCTCTGGTGCATCAGGAGGCTCCAATAAAACCAGGCTGGATTTCGCATCAGCGCTGGGCTGTTTGAAAGCCCCCAAAAGGGTAGAGCTGAGTTACCCTGGCAAAATAAATGTGTCCAATGGCAAAATAAAGCAAGAAGAAACCTCCATCCAGAGCATGGGAACGTTCTGGAGCTCCAGCCTTGCTGCCTCAGCCTTGCTAGGGGCAGGATTTGGGAGACATCCCCTTCTCCAGAGAGAGAATTGGGATAATAATTCAGCTTTTAGGGGGAAAACCAAACCTCTTGGAGCCCAGAGGTTTTCCATGCTCTGTGTGTGACCATCCAGACCCACAGAGCTGAATTTTGGTCCCAAACTAATCAGGAATAAAAATGAATAAATGGAGTGGAATCCAAGTGGGCAAAGCCACAAGGCTTGGGGTACCCAAACAGCTTCAATGCACAAACAGCTTTTCCACACTTTTTAATGGTATTCTCATCATGATTTTTGTTGTATTCTCACCCTTCTTGATATAAAAGTAGGTTTTGTAGTATTAAAAGCAGAAAATTCATATTGCCTGAGCACTGATGAAACAATGTGAGCACCTGCAGTGAAAAACCAGCAGGAGGAAAATACAGTTTGCTGGCAACAAAACATTCTCTAGGTGAGGGCAGAAATCTGATAATGCATGGGAAGGATTCTCTGGTTTTGGATGACACAAAATCCAACTGTCCATTATCATTTACGTTGGGTTTTTTGTCACCAAAATGAACACCTGTAAAATTTCCTTGTCCCAGTCAAACATTTCCTCCCCCTTTTCTTGAAGCAGGAATGATAAACCTTCCACAGGAAAATTACTCCTTTTCCTTCTTATCCCAAATACTGTGTAAAAGATGGAATTATTAAGTATTTGGAGAGTTTGGTGAAAAAAACAATGTTGATTTTAATGGAATTTCCATGGTGGAAGGGCAGAGCATTGGGAACATATCCTGATTTTCTGTAGGAAGCTGCATTTACATCACTGTTGACTTTTCACATCACTGTTGACACTGTATTTTCTTTATTTCTTATCATTTTTACAGCTTCCAATGTCCCATGGGGAACTCCAGAGCCCAGGGAAAGTGCAAAAAGGCAGGAATGGACTTCCAGTGGGATGAGGAGGCTGGAGAAAATCTCCTTCCATATCACACCTTGGTCACATCACTCAGCCCTGCTGGGAGCTCCAGGAGGTGAGAAATGTCACCAATGCAGGTATGATCTTTAAATTAGGGTAAATTAATTAAGGTATTAAAAGAGAGAATTAAGGCATAGACTATTTAATTCTAATAAAGAAGTGTTTATTTGGATCCCAGTCCAGAGCCAGTGGATATCACAAATCCTATAAAGAAAAATATTTTTTTTATTATTATTATAGAAAAAAACAACCCAGGGATGCATTTTGCAACAGAAAAAGGAATAAAGCTCCTGGAGATTTAAAAAGTTTCAATTTGCTTAGCTGCAGTGAAGACAAAATACATCCCCAAAAGTACAAAAGGGCAGAATTTAATGGGAGAGGAAAGGTTAAGAAAGATGAAGAAAGATGAAGAAAGAATCCCTTCCCCTGTTTATTCACTGCTGCTGGGCAATAATATAATTTTCAGTCTCACGTCTCTATTTCAGACCACATATGGCAGTAATATTGGATGTTCACCATCACAGCTTAACCATGACTAAACAGGTTGATGAATGTCATGCATCTTATCATCATACATGCATATTTTTAAATATAATTCACTTTTGATCTGCACCCTTGTGCAGTGGTGAATGAAAACAGTTAAGATTTCTTCCACTGTCTGCCTTTAAATGTATTAAACAGCCCTGCTGTCAATAGATTATATTCTTGTACAATGATAATAGCCCAAAAAACTAAGAGGCCTTGTCAGGAATTGCAGTTGTCACAGTTTGATGCAAATGATTTTACTTGGTGTTCATCTGCTGCACAATCATCTCATAATCTGGATATACATCACAGCATGACATGTAAATTTCCTGCTACTCTGCTTTCATTTCCAGAGGCAGCAATCAAATGAAAACCATTCAACCTCACCAAAATGTATAAATAATTTTCATTCAAACATATTAACAGTCAAAATACGAGAATTTATCACAGAGCACTACGCCTTTTAAGAAGCAATAAAGACTTTACTTTTTAAGCATATTTCTACTTAGAAAAGTAATATGAACAGTAACTTGTGGTTTAAAAAGGGGATTTAAAAGTCCACACATAGCACCAAATCTTCAAATTTAAGTGTGTTGGTGCTGTTTTTCCTCAAGTATTTCTTGGGAAAAAATAGCTTAGAAGAGGGTTGGGAAAGTGGGAATAAGGGGTAATGCTCAAATGACTCCTTTCCCTTCAGATTTGCCCCATAAAATAAATATGAGTATTAAATACAAAGAAGAGAAAATACAATGCTGTGTCACAGAATCTGTGATACAGCAGACTTCCTCTATTTTATTGATTCATTTTCATTTCTACTCTAGATCAGATTTTAATTTCACTGAATTGAAGGATTTTTTTTTTTTTAAATCTATCAATTTTTAAAAGGTCTGTTACAAGCACAAACACCCTCCAAAAAGACCAGCTTTGAAATGCACCCAGTGAAATTCCAAAACACCAAACAAGGAGCAGGCTGAACTCCAGTTCTACCAGACCCAGCTGTCAAATATCTCCTTTCTGATCTCTTTTTGCTCTGCTGGGAGCTGTCCCTGCCCATGGCAGGGGCTTGGAATGAGATGATCCCAAACCAATCTGGGATTCTGGGCTCAAAGTACAACTGGAGATGGGGATTTGGGAGAATTTTCCAGCTGCAGCACCAGTGGGGAGCGGTGCTGGTGGTTACTGGGAGCACTGGGGCACACAGTGTGAAATATGGGTAAAATCAGCCTCCACTTATTGCTGAAATGAGCCTTTTTGGGGTGATTTTCCCTCCTTGCCAAGCCACCCTTCCCTGTGGCTGCATCCCCAAATCCACTCCTGGGGAGTCCCTGAGTCCATCACCTGCCAGGGCTCCAAGGAATTCAGGAACAAAGGACATTTTGCTGTTCTTATTAATGGTGGTGCTGAAAAAAAATTGCTGCCTCCCTAGAAATTGGGTGCTTTTTCTGAGAAACAGGTAAAAACTGCTAAGATGACAGTTTTTCCCATTTTTCCAGTGAGTGTGTCTGAGGAAGTAGAAGTGCAATAACCTGGGGTACAGCAGGCTCAGCCATTTGAAATAAAACTTTGCAGTACTAATGTTTTTGTAACTGCTTTCATATTGTAATGATATTTTTCCAAGCACTGGTTTTATTTGATCTTAAATACCTTTTTGGGAAAGTCCAGTGAGCTGACTCTAATAAAATCATGCTATTGAAAAAAGGTTTAAGTGGAATGTTCAGAATAAATTACAAAACTGCATGCAAGAATACCAGCTAGTGCTGCAATAAAAATCTGGAAATGAGGATTCTTGCAATATATTTTAAAGAAGTAGTATACTTTTTTTTTTTGTTCATTTTTTTCACAGAATGTTTCATAATAGAAGGCCTTTGCAATGTGAAAGGGGGTGAATGAATAAACTGCCAAAGAAATTGCATTTAAAAAAAGACTTCACCTTTTTTTTTTTTCCTGGAGCATATATTTCATATCATTTTCAATAACTTTTAGAACATAATAGGAAAAGTAATTCTCTTCCATTTTGCTATACCAAAATACTTGAATTACATCATACTTAGATTGTCAGATTTCACTCTGTCTCTCACTCACACGTTCAGACCCTTTGTATCAAGAGCTGATATCTGGAAAAGGAGAGAGTTGTTTTTAATCCATGTTCTGGCAAGTCCTGAGTCTGTAGGAAAGGGCTTCCAGAATTTAATCAGGGCTTTTCCTGGGCTTCCTCTCTCCTGTAGATCCAACAGTCAAATTCCTCTGGCTGAACACAGCCCTGGGATTAGGACAGAAAGGACTCACTCCTCCATGAGCACCATTTTCTGTCTGACCGGGGAATTCCAGCTGTGACACATCTGTATTTGGAATGGCACAGGCAAACCTGGGACTGGTCCCGGTACACTGAGGTTTGAACCCAGCTAGGGGAGAGAAAATGGGACAAAATTCTGACCCAGCTGGGTGAGCACCCTCAGAACCCACAGACATCCTCTGAGGCGCTCAGACCGTGGCTGGGTTTGTGCCAGGGTTTGTCAGGATTGTCCACAGGTCACCTCTGAGCTGCTCAGGGACAGAGGGCAGCAGTGGCAGGCAGATTTCAAGAGGTTTCTGCTGGAGGATGGGGATGCAGGTGACAGCAGGACAGGCTGCAAGGAGGGACATGAGCTTAAATATTCATCTGTGGCAGCTGTAATAATGCCAGGCCTGCTCTGTTCTTTGCATTTTAAAAACTTGACATGAACAAGTTGCCTCATTGAACTGTTCTTCCCCTTGGACTCTCTGCTGGATCCATGGAGAGGGTGTCAGGTGCTGAGGAAAGGAGCCAGGCAAAGGAACCCACACAAACAGCCCCTGGCTGAAGCAAAAGCTGTTGTTTGAAATGCCTGATCTCCTGGAGCTGGTGCTGACAGTGGTCACCAGGAACCCTCTGTCTGTGGTGAGGAGCAGGAAGATATGGCCACATACTCAGCTCTGGGGGCTTTTCATCATGGGCTGTGCACCAGCCCAGGCTTCAGGCAGAAACAGGAAAAGAATCTTCTCAAAATGTTTTAATTGCTGTTTAATCTGGGGCCTGTTCAAAGCTGCTGGGCTGTCCTGTATCTCAGTGCCTTCACCAAAAACTTAAATCCTCTTTACTCTTGATGGCTTCATGTAACCTGCTCAAACATCTCCCAGCAAATGCAGGGAGAAACGAATAATTCCAAATGAGATTTGTCTTATCTTCATATTTCCAGCGCATCCTTCACCCCTCATCCTTCAATCCTCCTCTTCAAACCCCACCTGTGCCATTGCTTAACAGGCCCTTTCCCTAAAATCACACTCCTTCTCCTACTGACAGCAGAATTAAAGCTGAACCCCAGTGATTCCCTGGCCAGGGGTCTGCATGCTGCCAGGGTAATGGTTCATGGGCCAAAACCAGGAAAAAGGATTAAATTGACACCAGGTAAAAGTCTCAAGTGGGAATGGAAGCAGAAAGATGGAAACTACAGGCTGAAGGTATTGTAGGATGACTGCAGTGGATACCAAGGGTAAGGTCATCAGAGGAATTCTTATCTATTTCAGAGCTTTGGCTGCCTCATTGCAAAAGTGTTTGCTCAGAATCAGAGTAAATTAAAAATCAGGAAAATTAAAAATCAGGGAGAGAATATGGATTCAAGCAGAGCTGGGGGCCAGCAGTCCTGGCTGGGCTCAGACATTGATAGGAGGGGTGAGAGCAGACGTGACACTGCCAAAGGAATGTAAAATGTCTCAGCATCACTTCTGAGACTGACCAGGCTCACATCTGTGCATCAGGAGCACGGACAGCCAGACAGAAATGTCACCCATCACCATAACAACAGAGCCCTCATTCTGCTCCCTCACTCCTCAGCTCTGCTTTCCACTGTTTAGAATTGTTGTGAAGAGAGTGGAAATTCCTTAATTGTGTCTCCTGTCTATTCCAGGAGAAATCAGTGTGTAAAGACAACAAAAATGCCATTTAGAGACACAACTGTAATAAGAAAAAGCTGAGGTTATCAGGTTTAGTGATATTTTATGTTGGGATATTTCAGTGTGGCTGAATTTGAGGCTGCAGCTCATGAATCCAGACCTGACTCCACTACTGCTGCTTCTTCTTGTATTTATTTCCTTAGCATATCAAAGAACTTTAAATACCGATTTATGAAATGGACATGGAACATTTTAACAAACAAAATATTTTCTCAGATTTTTTTTTTGAGGCTAGATATACACAATTCAGGTGCTGAGCTCTGGCCAAAACATATTCAGTGGGAAACAGGAATTTAAAATACAGCACCTCAAAGTTCTGACAGAAAAACCCTACCAGGAGAACCTCTCAGTGCCAAGAGAAGCAGCAATTTTCTTGGTGGAGCAGCCTTGCAATGTCCAATTCTAACTCACACTTTTTTCTTTTTTTTTATGGGGAATAAATACCTTCTCCACAAACTTGAATGACCACTCGTGGTTTATTTCAGTAGCTTAAATATTTTTCTTTCATCTCTAGAAGGGGAAAGAGCCAGTGCATTTCATGCTGCTGTCCCCCAGGTTTGCTGCTGTCCCTCAGATGTTTTGCCATCCAGTTTGGGCACTCCAGGAAGAATTTGCTGCATCACAAGCTGGAAGCACTGAGGAGTCCAGAGCTGCTTTCCTGAAGACCAATATTTTTTATTGTCTTCTGCCCAATTAATGCAGTAACCAATCCAGGTGAGCAAGATCTTGTATCCATGCAGAGCCATTGTCAGCTTGAGTGGGATCCCTCAGCCCTCCCCACATCATTTCAGTTGCAGGCTGAGGCTTTCCAGGAAATCAGAGTCATGGAATTACTTAGATTTGTGAACCCATGTGATATAATAATAATAATTAAAATAATATCCCACCACTGGAGTATATGCAGAAAGCAGAATTTTTATACCATTAGCCATATCTGACATATCATAGATAACCAGGTATAAACTCACACAGAAACCCCTGCTTCCTGCATATTAATTATATTGATTATATTGATTATATTGATTATATTGATTATATTAATTATATTAATTATATTAATCATATTAATTATACTATAACTCTTGGGTGGGAAATATGCTCCTGTGCACACACTATACCAAAAGTTCATCATTAAAGTTGCATAATGAAACACATTTAAGTTAGGGAAGATGTGCTGAAGTTTCCTGGGAGATGCTGGATCAAGTCTCTTGTGCCTCCTTCAACCCCTGTTACCTCATCCCCTCATTATGGGTTTTCCATAGGATTCCTGCCTGAGGCAAAGCAGATTTAACTTGCTCTGGAGGTGACTTGGAATTGTTTTCTTCAGGATTCTTTAATATGCACCCTGAATAATGTTTTATTCATTTAAGGCTTTGTCTTTTCAGAAACTCTTGTGAGCTTTCCTGAGTTTTTTTTGTCTTAAAGAAAACAAAATGAAACCAACTTGGTGGTGTCCTGCTGAGGGCTGTGAAGCCATGGTGGCCCTGCAAAAAGCAGAGAGAAAATACCTGCAGTAGTTCAAGGGCAAGTTGGAAGGGGATTGAAGCAACCTGGGATAGTGGAAGGTGTCCCTGCAGGGGAGGAATGAGGTGATTTTGGAGGTCCTTCCAACACAAACCAGTCTGGGATTCTGTGAATTGTGACTTGCCAGGATGCACAGGACCAGCGTGTGGGCAATTTCCCTTTCCAGAATATTTCCTTCTGCAGATATCTCTGTTTCAGGCTCTAGGGAAAGGTTTGTTCCAATGGGCCCAACCTTTCTGACTCAGGCAGAGCTTGAGCAAAGGGATTACATGACACATGCAGCAGTTGTGAAATCAGTGACTGACACTATTCCCAGATTTGATCAGTTTTACCCTGCTCCAGCCTGTCCTTGGAGCAAACCTCAGCCTCCAGCCATCCCTCTCTCATTCCCCTGGGCCAGAAAATTAAGCAGCTTCCCTTCAGCACTCAGTGCCATGGGAGAGGGGCAGGATCAGCCCCTGGAGCTCAAGGGACAATCCCTTCACTGCTGGGTTTTTCAGCCGAGTCTCTGGACCTGGCACTACTTGAAGCTTTTCAGAGTAGCAACCATGGAGCATCCCAGCTGGATCTACGCCCAGCATAAGTGGAATCTTCATGAAATTTAGAGAGATTTAAATGCCTCCTGAGCTTCTGGAGACTGATTATTTTTTTCCAAAAGCTTGTAACTCAACCAACTTTAGATGGGCTTTTGTGGGAATGCCAGGACATATACCCTTGATCACCTCCCTGCCAAATTCCAAGTCTGCTCAAAGGTAGGAAGAACTAGGTGATGTTAAAACCCTTCCAAGGGAAGATGGCCATTATTTTTTAAATTGGGAAATTACACTGAAAGTCTGCACAGATGGCTGAAAGTTTGAAAAACCCTTTTAAAAAATCTTTATTATTATTATTCCTAGGTCTCTGTGAGCTCATAGAGCTTGCAAAAATCTCTCTGTGCCTCAGTCTCCCCATGGGGAAATGGGGATAAGGAAATGTATTTTGAGATGTAAGGCTGGCATGGAGCCTGGCAATGCCAGTTATCCCAATTGTGCTTTGTTTCCATTGCTTTTGTGTGGCTCTGACTGTCCCTGTAAAACACTGTGGCACCTTGCTGGGCATCCAGGAATAGGAACTGGGCAGAGCAATGGCAGCTCTGGGGTGGGAATTCACCTCTCACCACATCTCATTTCTACCCCGACAAGGAGAGCTCAGCCCAGAAAACAAATTGATCAGGTTGCTTCAAGCCTGCAAGGTTTTAAAATCCAGCCACACACAGTGACAGGAAGGGAATGACACTTCCCACAGCCCCTGGAAATCAGCTGCCTTGCACTGCCAGGTTCTGGGGATATTTGCTTCCTGCCCCCTCCAACGATATTTACAGGGCTCAGTAGAAGTCCAGGCAATAACATCC